GGAGGGACATGGGGGGAGGTGATGCAGCGGAGGGAGGAGACATCGAGATTAACAGGGATATGCAGCACAGAGGAAGTACGAGAAAGATGGAGACAAGGCACTATGCCAGACCAAACGTTTTGCTGGCTGGCTGGGAGGGACAACAACAACAACCGCCATTCGCCACTAAGTGGCGGTGACGTCACCACGACGCTTGTGCCAGGCTATGTGCACCCTGAGGCCACGTGAAGTGTCGAACGAAGGTTGGCAGGAAGTTACGGGGCAGACCCAGGTGCCACGGGTCGACTGACTGAGATGACTGGCTGATGCACCACCTGTGCCCCTTACTGTGGCAACCTGCTGTGCTTTAGCCACCCGGCGCTCCGCTCGTTGTTGTGAGCGTCGCTCCTCCGCCCTCCGTTGTTGTTGGAGGGCGACTGCCTCCAACTGCCCAGTAGCGTCCTTCACGAGCCTCCTCCACAGAGGCCGATCTTGACACCGCTAGTACCAGTCATCGGCAAGTCCACTCAGCTCCACGTCCTCCTGTACCACATCACTCCATCTCTTCTCTAGCCCGTGCCGCGTCCGCTTAGCCCCCTCAATCCGGCCGAACAAAAGCTGTTTCGGCATGCGGTGGCTGGGCATGCGGGCTACATGACCCAGCCAATGCAGCCTTGCTTGCCGGAGGAGCTCACCGATGGGACCTTGCCCAGATCTTTCAAGGATTTGTGAGCTCCTCACACAATCCAGTCTGGTTAAACCCAGGATGGATCGTAGGCAGGCCAGCCTAAATGTTTCTAACCGGCGAAGATGTTCCATTAGGGGGGTCCACGTTTCGCAAGCGTAGAGAAGGGAGGGAATGACCGTGGCCGAGAAGACCTGAAGCTTAGTGTGGAGCGACAGACCAGGTAGCTTCCACACAGCATTACGCAACCGATGAAAAGATATTGCCGCTCGACTGATTCGGAGTGAGACCTCTGCTGTTAAACTGGAGCCAGTCATAAGCACACTGCCCAGGTATGGGAAACTCTCCACTCTCTCCACAACTGCCCCATCACCGATTGGGAGTTGTGGCGGTGGAGTGTCCGATGGTACAAAATACCCAGGCAGGTGCTTAGTTTTGGTGGGGCTGATGGTAAGGCCCCACCTCTTAGTGGCACGCTCCAGTCTCAGCAGCAGCGTCTCCAACTCCTCCTCTGAATGAGCAGCTATTACCAAATCAACAGCATACATAACGTGGTTGAGCAATAGGGAGCCATCCCTTGACCGCACCCGGGCATCGATCAGCCTCCCATTATATCTATACCATATGGAGATTCGCCCGGTACAGCTATTGAAGGCTTCACGAACTACGTGGTCAAAATAGATGTTAAATAATGTGGGAGCTAGAGGACATCCCTGTCGCACCCCAGGGTGTACAGGGAATGGCTCTGACTCCCGGCCACGTAGTTTTACCCGGGCCCGCTCACCATCATGAAGGTCCTTAATGATCGTGAGCAGAGGGTCAGGTACTCCAAAAGCACGAAGAACAACCCAGTGCCCAGGCCTACTGATGGTATCATAGGCCTTGACCAGGTCAATAAAGCAGAGATGTAGGTCTTGTTGGAATTCCCTACACCTTTGCTGTAGCAGACGGACAGAACATATGGCATCTGTGCAGGACCGCCCTTTCCTGAAACCGCATTGGGGCTCCGCAAGCCTCTCCTCAGCGTGCCTGGCAAGGCGATGTTGAATAATCCTTGCCAGGACCTTTCCCGGCACACTGAGGAGTGAGATGCCCCTGTAGTTACAGTCTGTGCGGTCCCCCTTCTTAAAAAGGGGGACCACCAGGGCAGCCTTCCAATCCTGCGGAACCCGTCCAGTGGTCCAGACTGTTGTTATGATGTCATATAGGGCAGTCTGTGCACAAACGCCACCCTCCCTCAGCATTTCGCTTGGGAGATCATCTCTGCCCGCTGCGTTTCCTGGTCTCAGACTCCGGATCGCCTTCAATACTTCCTCAGCAGATGGCACCTCAGCCAGCCACTCACAGGGGGTGACTTCTTCCAATATTTGAGGCACCGCAGCCTCAGCAGGGTCATCCTCACTTTGTGCCACGATGTTTTCCTGGCTGAGGGATTTTCCCTCCCCCAGGACCTCACAGAAATGCTCAGCAAATCTGCGAACCTGTTCCTGGGGGTCGGAGATTGGATCACCGTTTTTTCCCCTAATGATGGTAATAGGTGTGGCGCTGCAGGTTACTTTTTTGATGAAGTTAAATAGAGATTTGTGATCACGGGCCACTGAGGCAGACTCCATCTCCTCAGCAACCCGCGACCACCACCCATCCTTGCAGCGCCTCACGGCTCTCCGAACCTCCGAGCGAAGGCTGCGGTAAGCCTCCTCATTCTCTGACGTGGGATTCTGTAGCCGATGACAGTGGGCCTGTCGCTTTTTCTCAACCATCCTGAACACTTCCTCTGTCAGCCAGGATCTCTGGGGAGGTCTGGACCGTGTACCCAAAGCGGCCATTGCAGCTGCATGAGTCACAGTCCTAAACCTCGCCCATTTACCCTCGACATCAGGAGGAGTCGGGGACGATGCCAATCCCAGCCGCAAGCGATGATGAAATTCTCGCTTGCAACTTTCATCAGATAACTGAGACCAGGCCACTTTAGGTTGGAATGGGGTCCTGGGTGTACACCCACCACCGGAGTGGAAGAATGGCAGGCGCATCTTACAGATGACTAGTCGATGGTCAGAGGGCAGATCAGCTCCACGGTAGGTCCTGGTGTCAAGGACATGGGCTCGCATCCGCTGGTCCGTCACTATGTAGTCCAGCAGATGTTCTTGCTTGGACCCGGCATGCATCCATGATGTTGTGTGCATGCGCCGATGCCGGAACAGCGTGTTGGTAATTACAAGCCCATGGGCTGCACAAAAATCTAGCAGCCTCCTACCGTTGTTATTGAGCTGATCTGGCCCATGCCCTCCAATCACTCCAGACCAGGTGCCAGTATCATGACCAACTCGGGCATTGAAGTCACCCAACATGATGACTCTATCCCGAGGGGCCACTTTAGCCAGCACCTGTGACAGGAGGTCATAGAAGGCATCTGAGTCATTGGCTTTGCCTGCATCCCTCCACGGATGTTCATCTTCGGTAGGGGCATAAGTAACCGTGACCACCATTCCTCGCCTCCGGTTGATGGGAAGGCGAGCCCAAAGTAGCCTGGGGCTTACAGCTTCCCACACCTCACCGCCACGCTCCCACGCCCCCTTCATTCTTTTGTTCAAAAGAAGAGCCACACCCTGTTGTTTGGCAGTCTGCTGCCCCGAGTAGAGGACTGTCCACCCCTCATGGTGGCAGGAGCCAGAGCCGGTCCACCGGACCTCCTGAATGCCACATAGATCCAGGCGGTACCGGTCCAGCTCCCAACAGAGGAGTAGCAGCCTCTCCTCCCCAGTGAGCGTTCGAACATTCCACGTGGCCACCCGTAGTGGTTTTTCGTTGTTTCTGGAGGAGCCCCGAGGGTAGATATTCAATCTCCTGGCTCCGCCAATTGGGGTTTGGCCAGGAGACGTCATAGACGCCTGGCCCCCCGGGGCCTCCGGCACAAGCTTATTAGTTATATACTTAATTCGCGGTTTAGTGGTAATTAATTGAAGGTGGAGGGTTTACCAGCCCCTCGCACCCGTCCAGAGCCCCCGTTTAGCCCCTGTGGTGGACACATATGCCATGAGGGGAGGAGCCAATCGGACACACAGTCACATCCAAGGGACGTGTGGGTTGATAGCTCGCATAGTCAATGCTGTAGAGTACTGTAAGCTCGTCCTCGACTTACGGACGCCGGCACTTACGAACCCGCTTCCATGACATATATTTGAAGTTAACTTAAAACACGAACTCGCATGTGCAAATTGAACCGCAAAACTATTTTGTTCAGCTGAGTGAACCTCCGAGATATGTAATGAGTTTGTGTGTGTGTGTGAAAGTGTGTTTGTGTGGAGGTTAGCTCTACGAAAGGAGCGACCCGAGTTCGATTCCTGCTCATGGCCAACACCGGTGACGATTATCTGAACCGGGCCTGTGCCTCTCCTCGGTCGACTCAGCCTCAAATGAGTACGTGGTGTGTAAACATCAACACTGGGGAGACAAAAGCGGCCGGGCGTGGTGTTAGCCACCCACCCCCTCGTGTGCCGCGCCAGCCTTCATAGGTGCTCGCTAACAGCACGTGCCCCCACAGTCTGTGAAGGCTACACGGGGGATGGTTGTCGTTGGTCGTCCTTGTCTTTGTGTGCCTCGTGTGTGCAATTATTGTGGTTACTCATTACGCCCCTTCCGACAAGCAAGTCAACATCAGGACTCAAGGGAAGTGAATCCCTGATTTTTTTATATTCACGGTATTGTACTTTGTTTAATTTACTAAACAGTATTATTTTAAAGTGTTACGTGCAATATGTATTATGAGTTTAACGATACTTCCATAACACTGACTATATGCGCAGTGCCTACTTACGAACCGTTCGACTTACGAACCGTTCGACTTACGAACCGTTCGACTTACGAACCGTTCGACTTACGAACCGTTCGACTTACGAACCGTTCGACTTACGAACCGTTCGACTTACGAACGGGTCTCAAATAATTATGTTCGTAAGTCAAGGACGGGATCGTATTACATCTCTTGTTGAACGAACTTTTTTTACATAACTTGTTTAAAAAAATCTAATCCCTTTTTACCATCTTTATTTCAACGATTAACCGTAAGCGTGGGTAACCGTAACCAAAACCGGTTTCGAACCGATTAAACCGTAATCGTTTCCATCGACTTTTTTCCCGTGACCCACCAGCGCAGAACCGCTGAAATCTCACGGGCGGCCACGGGAGACGATGCCGCACTGCGCATGCGTAGTGGGGAATGTGAGGGGCGGGGCCGGGAGGAGGGGCTGGTTGGGGGGGGAGGCGGGGGCGGGTTACACGAGTTCGGGTACCCCGCCCCCGCTCTTTTTTCCAGCCCCGCCCCTCCCCCGGACCCCGCCCCCACCCCGGCCCCGCCCCGCGCCCCGGGTCCGAGGCGCGACCCCAGTGATACAGTGCGACAGATACAGTGTCGCCGCCGCTGCTGCTACGACAGCTACAGCCGCTACCGCTGCTGCTGCTCGGTAATGCGGCGCCGCGACTCCCACTCCCGGCGGCGCTCTCTCTGTCTGGCGTCTCTCCCCTCGCTCTCGCCGCGTCTCTCGCTCGCCACGCGAACCGGGAAGGTGGCGCGGCGGTGCCGTGATAGACGAGGCCTGGACGCCGGGGGATGGGTCACGCGGGGCCATGCGGGGCCATGCGGGCCCCCCTCCTCCTGTGGCTGTCTCCTCGTGTCTCTTCTTGTCTCCCTGGCTCTGTCTTCCCGTGTCTCCCTGTCTCCCCGTCTCTCGCCCCCCGTGTCTTTCTGTCTCCATGTCTCCCCGTCTCTTCCTGTCTCCCCGTGTCTCCATGACTCCCCGTGTCTCCATGTCTCCCCGTGTCTCCATGTCTCCCCGTGTCTCCATGTCTCCCCGTGTCTCCATGTCTCCCCGTGTCTCCATGTCTCCCCGTGTCTCCATGTCTCCCCGTGTCTCCATGTCTCCCCGTGTCTCCCTGTGTCTCCCTGTCTCCCCGTGTCTCCATGTCTCCCCGTGTCTCCATGTCTCCCCGTGTCTCCCCGTGTCTCCATGTCTCCCCGCGTCTCCCCGTGTCTCCCTGTCTCCCCGTGTTTCCATGTCTCCCCGTGTCTCTGTCTCCCCGTGTCTCCCTGTCTCCCCGTGTCTCCCCGCGTCTCCCTGTCTCCCCGTGTCTCCCCATGTCTCCCTGTCTCCCCGCGTCTGCCCGTCTCCCCGTGTCTCCCCATGTCTCACCGTGTCTCCCTGTCTCCCCGCGTCTCTCCGTGTCTCCCTGTCTCCCCGCGTCTCTCCGTGTCTCCCTGTCTCCCCGCGTCTCCCCATGTCTCACCGTGTCTCCCCGTGTCTCCCCATGTCTCACCGTGTCTCCCCATGTCTCCCGTGTCTCCCTATGTCTCACCGTGTCTCCCCGTGTCTCAACGTGTATCCCTATGTCTCACCGTGTCTCCCTGTCTCCCCGGGGGTCTCCTCTCGCAGTGCGATTCGCGTCCGTGCAGGACACTGCTGAAGGTGCCCCTGTGGTGTGAGCAGACGTGGTCAACCCTCACCCATGTGGTGGTGGTGTAAGTAGTGGTCTCGGAGTCACCCGTGTCGTGGTAGTGTTCAGTGTCACCCATGTGGTGGTGGTGGTGGTGTAAGTAGTGGTCTCGGAGTCACCCGTGTCGTGGTAGTGTTCAGTGTCACCCATGTGGTGGTGGTGTAAGTAGTGGTCTCGGAGTCACCCATGTCGTGGTAGTGTTCAGTGTCACCCATGTGGTGGTGGTGTAAGTAGTGGTCTCGGAGTCACCCATGTCGTGGTAGTGTTCAGTGTCACCCATGTGGTGGTGGTGGTGTAAGTAGTGGTCTCGGAGTCACCCATGTCGTTGTAGTGTTCAATGTCACCTATGTGGTGGTGGTGGTGTAAGTAGTGGTCTCGGAGTCACCCGTGTCGTGGTAGTGTTCAGTGTCACCTATGTGAACACCATGATGCTTGCAGTGGCTTTGGCATTTGCTCAACCGCTGTTTGGCCGTTACAGTTTTGGGTGAAAGCTTGTAGCGACTTGCTTAACTGGCCGTGTCGTGCCGCCGTGGTGCCTGTGTTGAGCAGGCCACGGGGAAGGGATATTGAGGCACAGTTGTGACGTGACGCAGCTTTCCCGTGAAGGTTGGACCCCAGGGATGGCTGGCCACAGTGATGGCTGGCACGGTGCGGTGCACCAGGTGGTTAAAAGTTCGCCTGCGGCTGAGGTTGCCATTTAGTACTGTTGCTGCACGTCCTTGATTTTTCTGCTCCAGGCATGTGACTGAGAGTGTCTACTCTGCACAGTGTTTCTCTTGTACGCGTGCGCTGGTGCCCTTGTCACCGCAAGGCCAAAGGATGGCTCGGGTTGTCACTGAGCAGAGTCCAATCGCACTGCACGGCAGGGAAAATGGTACATTATAATGTTAATTTACAGTCTCCGGGTTGTGGTGCTGCACACATCATGTGCAAATGGAACCAGCGCGTGTATGAAACTCGTGCTTACAGACCAGTGGCGTGCCTAAAGGAAGGACAGCAGAGATGTCATGCTTGTCTGCATATTCTCATTGTCTCTTGCGTACAGTACAGTTTCATCCCGAACTCAAAAATACTCCCGGATTTGGCTAAACATCTCAATATCCTGAATATAACCACTAGAATCAATGCAGCTTTATAGTTAAAGTTTTTTAAAAATATATAAACTTAGCTTTCCCATTCATACCGAAACCGCAGTGCAAATATTGGTATGTTTTGTAATGCAGCACAATATTGCATGTCCATAGAAATATTAATACATATGTAGTGGTCGACTTGATGCGGACAACTTTCTTGTTTTCTCCGACACCACTTTTATTACAACTCTTCACATTACGTCTGTGACTCCGTCATTCCGCTTAGCCGCAGTTCGCTTGCCGCGCTCCGTCCGTCTCGCTCCCCCGCTTCCTCCCCTATCCCTCACTGTCCCTCTGCGTCGTCCCTGTCTCTCTTAGTCACTCGCTGTCTGTCTCTCTTCGTCGCTCGCTGTCCCTGTCTCTCTTCGTCGCTCGCTGTCTCTGTCTCTCTCCGTCGCTCGCTGTCTGTCTCTCTCAGTCGCTCGCTGTCTCTGTCTCCCGCTGTATCTCCGTCTCTCTCCCGCTGTCTCTGTCTCACGCTGTATCTCTGTCTCTGTCCCACGCTGTATCTCTGTCTCTCTCCGTCTCTGTCTCACGCTGTATCTCTGTCTCTGTCCCACGCTGTATCTCTGTCTCTCTCCCGCTGTCTCTGTCCCTCTCTCCGTCTCTGCCTCACGCTGTATCTCTGTCTCTCTCCCGCTGTCTCTGTCCCTCTCTCCGTCTCTGCCTCACGCTGTATCTCTGTCTCTCTCCCGCTGTCCCTGTCCCTCTCTCCGTCTCTGTCTCACGCTGTATCTCTGTCTCTCTCCCGCTGTCTCTGTTCCTCTCTGTCTCTCTCTGTCTCTGCTTGTCTCTGCTTGTCTCCACTTCTCTCTGTCTCTCTCTGCTTGTCTCCACTTGTCTCTGCTTCTCTCTCTCTCACTGCTTCTCTCTGCTTGTCTCTGCTCTACTGTTAGCCTGTTCTGTCTCCTATGTCTTCACTCCGGTTCTCCCCAACCTGCTTCGTTCCAGTCCCAGCGACAACAACTCAACTCGTTCTTCCCGTCTCCCGAATATATCCCCGTTCTCATTACCAACCAATTAATTAGGCCGTGTGCCACCAACGCCCCACGTCCCCCCGCACCTGTTACTTGGCCCCTTAATTCCCAGACATTCCGGTGCCACCTCGCCCTTGACAACAACCCCAGCCAATCACAGCCGTACATCGCTCTTTAGCTTAATTGGACCGTCATTACTGCACAGTTTCCCGCCGCCACACTTGGCCGGCCCGACGTAACCCCACTGTCCATAACTCGCGCGTCCTTACCATTCCCCCCTGTATGCGCGTGTTAATCCACTACATCACCCCCCCCCCCCCCCCCCCCCCGTGATTAATGAATTAGCCGTCCCGGCTACACACAACAATCTGACACCTCAACAGTGGTGAGTAACAACATAACACAACAGACAACAGCAATGGCGTCGCTTGACCGACGTGTGTACGGCAGCCGTTTGAGGTGTATTGTCAAATTGTCAATGGAAAGTCCTTCCTCGGGAGCGGGTTCCAGCAGCCGGTCCATTACCCCTGAATGGGTCAACATGGGACAAGGGCGGGGAACGCTCCCTCGTTAACACGGGGCTGCATCCAGTCCTCGACGCGTGCCCCCCCTCGTCACAGCGATCATCCCCTGGCGTGATTGCATCCCGCTCCTGTGCATCCCGGGCCGTCTCCCGAGGTTGCGGCTGGCCAACCGGCCTACGGCCAGAGAATCTGCCAGAAAGCTTCCTCCGAGTTAATAGTGGCGGTCCTGCAGGCACACGGGGGGCAGACTGCTGAGGCGCGTTCACATGCGACCGTACCACAGGTTCGTCGGACACATCCAACGCAGGCCGCTTTGGGATGGGAGATGACGCGTTGTAGGGAGGTACAAATTTCTTAAGGCGCGACGGGTGAACATGCCATATGCGGCGACCAAAGCGAATCCGTACACTCTGGTTCCGACGAGTTTCCACAATCTCGACGGGGCCCTGCCAGGGTCGATGGAACTTTGGAGACGTGCCCACTGGCACAATGGGGCAGTGCAGCCAAGCCCTGTCCCCCACACGCCAGGGGTCCCGAGGAGACTGTGTGCCGTGCAACCGTTCGTTGGCGGCTTGCCGTCTCGCGGTGTTACCCAACGAGGCCTCCCTAGCCTCCTTCAGACAATCCAATGCCACCTGCATGGGAGCAGGTACCGCCGACGACTTCCCTTGCGCCTGCACGCCCAATCTGACCAGGGCCGGGGCCTCCGGCTCCCGATCGTACATTAAATAGAAAGGCGAGTACCCCTGTGAGGCATGCAGGGCCAGCCTGTAAGCGGCTAGGGTTGCCGGAACGTATAGGTCCCAATCATTCTGCACGGAGTTGACCTGTTGGCATAGCATAGACGTTAGCGTCCTATGCAGGCGTTCGACCATCCCGTCGGTTTGCGGGTGGTACGGGGACGTCCGAATCTTCTTAGTCCCTAGTAAATCACACGCTTCTTTAAGTAACCGGGATGATAAATTTTTGCCTTGATCGGTGAGCAGGTGCTCCGGGGCACCTTTATCAAGGACGTATCCTTGCAGGAAAGCTTCCGCGATCGACCCCGCAGATTGGTCCACCAGTGGCCATGCCATAGGCCAGCGAGTGAGGTACTCGACGCCCACGAGCAAGTATTTGTGCACCCTTGGGGTTACGGGAAACGGACCCAATATATCTAGGGCAACAATTTCGTTGACACGGGAAACCCGTATCGATTGTATTGGCACGCGATAGGGTTGCGCCGGCGCTTTCCGCCGTGCGCATTCGTGGCAGGACTTAATAAATCGTTGTACATCGTTATGCATGCCCGGCTAGTAAAACTCCTTCCCCATGGTCAGCGCGTTTTTTTTTCACCCAA